TGGTCCTGCCTCTCAGGCTATCAGTGGTCTTAGATCCTGACAAGGCACCTGGCTATTTGCATGCTTTGGTTTCCTGCTTTGACAGCTATAATAAAAATCCTTCCCCGATATTTCTATAATATTTTAAGATATCAGTGTTTGTAGCTATCTGCTTTGTAGCTATCTGCTTTGCTCCTCTTCCAGGATTTTATTACTCAGCAGCGGGAATGACAGATCTAGACAAACATCTGCATCTCAGCTACTCTAGTGCAAAATATTATATCTTTGATGGGAAAAGACAGCACAGCAGTGTGGATTTAACAAACAGCTGAAGCACAGGTATACATGAATGAAAGGCAGGGTAGATAGGGACAGTAGTATCTTAAATCAAGCCAGTACAGTGAAAGATGTCAGTTAAATAGCTAAAGTGATCTATATGCATCCATCTATCTATATGCATCCATATTTATCCAGAATAAATAGGATATACAAAATTATAATTCAAGCATTCTATCAGAAAGTCTTTAACTTATCCATCTTCCTAAATGACTTTCATGAGAGCATCTGTTGGGAGGGTTTTTTATGTTGCAAATATTGCTTTTGCACAGTTTTCATTAACTAAAGATAGTTGCATATGATGTCATGGAGAGTGTACACCATTCATTTTATGTTGCTTCTACACAGCTAGTTAAAGAAGTACTAAGACAGATTAAAATGGGTTTCCCAGTCTTCCACTGGACATCCACACTGATATTTGCAAAGCAGAAAATATACAATCATTCAGTAAACTATCTTCCATTATGGCAACAATGAATAACACATAAAACAGTGTAAAACTAAGCTCAGCTATAATAATTCAAGAACATACCAGCTCCAGGAGTTACACAGAAGTCCAGATAATCTGGAGCAGGGAAAGTGTGTTCACACTAGAGGTATACAAATAGTACACAAATAGTTGTGGTGAAGAGAAGGAAGCCATTTCATTTGTGGGACATCAATAGCAACCGATCTGCTCTTGGGTTCAGTCACTGTCGTAAGTCTCCTTTCCACCTACACAAGTAGGAAGATTAAGAAAGAGACCCACATTGTGGCAATGAGAGGCTACTTGCTTAGGGAACCACCCCTTGGCAAGATCTCGTTGCCTTTTTTTTTCCTCCCCTCCCCTCAACAATTTTTAAGGCTGAAATCTGAGTCCTGAAGAAATTGTTCTTTTCTCTTTGATCTTGCATTAAGTTTGATAGGGAATGGACTGATCTGAGAGTAGAACCTTTATTAGCAAACTGAAGATCAGGTTTCTTCACTGAAGATGTTAGACACTACAGGGTTTTTTGGTGTTTGTGCAGACTGAAGGCATTGTTTTAATTTTTTTTTCTCACCATTCAACCTATTTTAATTGGCAATAAATTAATCTTCTATAAGTCTGTTTTGCCCATAATGGTAACTGGTAAGTGGTGTCTCTGTCTTAATCTTGACCCACAAGATTCTCCATCTTATTTTCATCCCCTGTTGAGGAAGAGGAGTGAGGCAGTAGCCAAATGGACATCTGATAGCCAACAAAAGTCAACCCTCCACAGGATGCAAGAGATAAAAACAGCCTTCAAGGAATCCCTGGCCCTCCTGTGTAGGTTGTCTCATCCTCTTGTGCAGTGTAAGGGTAAAATTGTCACTACTCTTGACCCCACAATCATCACCATGTACTGAGACTACTGCTGGGCTGTTTTCAATTTTTTTTTCCAACGCTGACCATTATCCAACACTCAGACTTCTTTTATCTATGATTATCTTAAGAGTTAGCTTTTCATGGTCACTCTTTATTTTCAGCATCTAGTTTCTCCTGCTTGACCTCAGTTTATACTAAATAATTACACAATCCTCTAATGCTTGGGCATCACCTAATAATTCAGCTGATTTAGATTTGCATATTATTTATTTATTGGTCACACAGAAGGAAAGGAGGAGCAAATTACTTCATTGAGTTTTCCCTTGCAGATGGAATAAAACTTACCTTCTTCCTTTACTGCCTACATAAAAATACTACTCTTGGACTATTTCTATTATAACTCTCTTTCTTTATAAGTAATTTCAGGGATTCTAGATGATTTGTGAAATAAGTAATTTTACAGGCAGAGAAACCAACAGATCAGGACACAGAGCAAACCTGCATCAGAACAGGACATTCAGATTCTAGCTTCATCCCAGCTATCCCTTCCAACAAATGATTATTCCTGAATTTTGTGATGAAATACCTTAACCTATGGCTTCAGCATTTTTGTGTTTAGATTTGGGGTTTCTCTGGTTTTTATCTTGATTCTTCAAAGTTAAATCTATTTTTTCAAGTTATATCATAGTTTTTTGATATTTTCTGATATTTTCTTAATAAAATTTCATTTATTTATATATTTGAAAAAAAAAAAGCTTTTACTTTTCTAACTGATGCTTTTACCCATAATCTCCTCCATCTTTTTTTTTTTTTTTAAATTGGTATAGAAATAAGCTAGCACTCACAGATGTCAATACTTCTAATAAATTCAATGAGCTCTGGTAAAAGTTCCAAAGGCTCACACTTTCCAGACAGAGCTCATATTCTGTCTGGAACAGCTCCCAAACCAGGCATGTTTTAACAAGTACACCTATGATTAAGGTGAATTGTGGAATCAGAAGTACGCAGAGCTGGAAAGCCCCTGACAGTTTTTTCACTTCATTCAGAAAGGGAAACAAAGAAAGACAGGGGCCAAATCCTCCTAGAATTTCCTGAGGTCCAGTCCTATTCTAAAAGAAGGGATCCAGCACTGCTAAAATAAATGATCAGTTTTCCGTCTTCAGCCACAGGGCAGTGTGATATACTGCTACAGGGGTTTGAACGGTCATGGGGACTCCAGCAACACACAGGGCCCTCTGAGGCGGTGTATTGGTTTTGGCAGCAGGGGTGGCCTCTGTGAGAAGAGGCCAGAGGTGTGAGAAGATGTGTCTGACAGCAAGCCAAGGTTACCCCCCAAGTGGACAGAGAGCAGGTGGTCCTCTTCTAAGATGGACTGGCCATTGTGTCCAAAGTCCCATCTACATGGCCCCAGGAACAGCTAGAGCTGTAGACAGTTCCTTTCTTTTTCACAGTCTTTCCCAGCACAGATGTCACAAGGATAACCCTATCACATGAAGGGCTACAAAATGTGGTTTGATCTTTCCGTAACAAGGATATCCCAACTCACTATGGAAACAGGCTATATGCCTCCACAGACCCTACTTGCCAAAGCATTCATGGTATCATTTTTGTCAGAGAAGTTAGAAAAAGCTTTTCTCCATTAAAAATGCCTTCCCCTTCATCCTGGTATGTGTAACATCAAACACAGCAAACAGCTCTTCTGAAAGATGCTTATGTTTTCCCCATGGTACAGGGTATATGAAACTGTTTTCTTCTCCTCTTCTCCAGAGTCCATCCCAGGCAAGTAAGAGAGGATATAAGTATTTCCAGTGCCATACTACAGTCAGGACACTGTGCACTCTTCTAGCATCCACCAGGCTCAAGAGAAAGCTGAACAAATTCATGGGCTATAACTTTACCCAGAGTTATTATATACAAAGACAGCTTCTGGCTGAGGAAGCACCTGAGCTTGGGAGAACCGGAGTACCTGAGAATGGGAGAACATCTGCAGGAAGTACTACTAGGTGCTCACCATACTCATACCCCAGCCGGAGATAGTATCCTGAGCTGGATGGCCTTGTAAAGCTTTTCTTCAGTTCTTATATATCACCGTTGTTGAACAAAATCTAATCTTGTTCCGAATTTTTTCGAAGCTAGATAAAAATCATAAGAAAGCTGTCTTCCACAAACCACATCCTTTGTAATAGCCTTTCTCTCTTCTAGCGATCAGTTGCATGACTATTATGTCAATTTTCAGTTGTCTTATTCATGCAACTTGCTTTGAAAGGAGAATTAATAAAACAAGTCCAGTGGTCTCCTGGCAACTAATTTTTGCAAAGAAACATTCCTTTCTAACACAGAGGTTTTGTGTAGATCAAATGCATTATTGAGTTTCTGAAAAACATTTGAGAAAAATATTACAGCAGAGGAGACACCTCTGGTAGTTACATGATAGCTTTCCTTTTGTTTTCCAGGTCAGGACTGAACAATTCAGGAGGAACAGCTTCAGACAGCATTTAATTTACCTTTTGGACTGCATAATAAAAATGTGACATCCAGAAACAATGGATAGAAACTGTGGTCTATCTAATTAAATAGTTGATTCTAAATGTCTTTCCGGTGTATCATTCTACTATGACATGGATCAAGATCAGAAAAGTTAGAATTTTTCTCATGTGACAAATGTAATTTTGTCAAAATGATATTTTTGGGGGTTTTATCTACTAATTGAATATACACAGTCATAACAAAATGTTCCAGAAGAAAGAATAAATATGTTGCTATTACCATTTCTTACAATTTTACCATTGCTCTTTTACTATTTCCTAGTTCTTTATAGCATTTAGTAATTCACTCCACAGTCAGATTGTCCAGTGTCTTTATTAGTTGCAGAATAATACAGCATACTGTGAAGGTTTTCGGGTTTCTGGAATCACTGAGATGACCCTAACATTCTCAGACTTAAATAGTACATTAGCACAGTACTTCTAGTGACTTTATATAATATTATTTTTCTTTCTTTGTATGAACTTCATAACTACTCCAAAGATACCTGGAAAAGGCGAGGTGCTATGAAAATTACCTTATCTCTGTTAAGATGCTGTCTGCACTGGCACATTGAATCATAGTAGGTTCTGAACTTGAAAAGTTGCATTCATTGCCATAACACCAAGCTTAATTTTGTGATCAGTTTGGACAAGATGAATCTTGCTCCATCAGCTGTCCATGGTTAAAACAAATAGGAGTCAGTGTTACTCAACATAACTCTTACAAGCATAAGACAACATTAGAGGGAAGCTAGGCCTTCATCTGCCCATTCTCCTTTGTGATACCACATCTGAATAAAGTGACGTATTTTTAAAAGATTCTCAAGACCATTTAGTTAGTGACTTTCTAGCTTTATTAGTTCTGTACATTTCTGGATTATTTACTCAAGAGAAAAAATTACAAGACACAGTTCAGCCTTTTTAAGATGTAGCATCATCACGACATACTCACTGAAGAGACTGTAGAGACACCAGTATTTTCAATATATAGTTTCCCATCAAATAAGTTATTTATCCTTCACAATTATTTCTGTCATGATATCCTTTCTTTGCCAATAATAGTTAATCTGAAGGCAATTTTTAATGGTCTTTCTAATAGCCAGAGAGAGTAACAACCTCTACAACCTCACTTCAGAACCTTAACACAGATAGCTGTTAACAAATGATGGCAATAAAAAGTAGATTTATTATTGTTTCCAAGCATAGGGATCATTTTTATATGTAGTTTAATTATCTCTTTCTGCTATGATATCTTTTTAGGTTACACATATTATGAAGTAGAAAGGTTATAAAAATCATAAATATCAGACTAGGAAAAGCCACAGCACCATTGAGTCAGTCCATGGTTATTCTGTCTGAGGAACTGACAGAGCCGGACCTTTGGGATCATCGAATCTGCTGTTTGTTGTAAGCTGCATGATCATATGGATTCCGTAAGTCAAGATCCACAGTAAAATTACAGATGTTACCAGACCCATCCAGATTACAGGGGTGAAGAAACCTGTACAGTCACTTGCATAGGAAAACTGGTTGTTTTCAATGTTGAAGCCTTGAATCTGAAAATGAAAGAAGCTAGATTAATGAGTGCAATTAAGTTTGGAGTGTAGTCCCTACTTTCAGGAAGTATGGGGTAATTACAAAAACCCACACCTTTTACTTACCAATCATACCCTACCCATTAAAAACAGTGCAAACAAAATCCTCCGCGTAACAATTTTCCAGGTCTCCTTTTCACCCAGGAAATTAAAGATGCAGAATCCATCTCTTTGTCAAGAAATAGGTTTCCCGCTTCAGAAACTTATATTACTTTTAGAAATAAAGTCCCAAAGGGGAAATGTGATCCGTATTCTGCATTCATTGTAGTCAAATCAGTATTCTGTATCCATGTGATCAGTATATCAGTATTTGTTGATCATCAGCTCAATGACCACTTCAGAACCAGGAAACTCAAAGCAATCAAACTCATGAGAGTTAAGGCCTCCTCAGATCATGAGATTTGTTGAAATACCCTGAGAGATTTAATTAATAGCTCCTTCACCAACAAAACTCCTGGAACCTACTTTAAAACACACCTAATGAAGATGACCTTTTACGGCTCAGTTTTAGTGAAAGTTCAAGGAGAAAACAGTTGTGAAACCTTTCTTCCTCCCTTCTTTGACATCAAAGACTCAAAATGGGAGGGAGGACTTGCTTTATTGAGGTATGGGATATGTGTTGTCTACTAATATGAAACAAGCTTTTGGGCTGGATAACTGCTTGCACTGCTTTAGGGAATGCAGGTGATGGCAAAAGCGTTTGCTTGTTAAGCCACTGCTTCCAACACAAATGAGAATGTGAACAGGAGTCATGAAATGTAACCTGAAAGACTTATTTACAATAAAAACAGAAAGCAGGTGATGATTTATGTCATTTGTGTTCAAAAAATGGATTGAAATTCTGGAAAACAATACACGCTTATCACATTGACAAGGAATCTCTGAATCTCTTACCAGGTACACTTGGTTAAGAAAGGCTTTGCCACTTCAGATTTAGTCAGAAACACTTAATTTTATTATTTCAATCCTATTGGGTTTTTTTTTTTTTTTCAGTCTGGATTGTGCTTATTGAACCTTTGAGGTGAAAGATTAAATTTTACATTCTTAAAAAGCTATGTCTACTTTTAGACAGGAGATTAAGAAAATGCAGGGTTATTTTATTGTTTTTCTGAAGCTTCATCATTTCTGTGGGGGTGCTAGATCACAGGTGGGAGGTAAAAACGTGACTCTGAGCAGCATTTCTACCTATAGAAAAGCTAAAAATACATACATGTGGTTCTGTAAATTTTATGAATGGAAAATCTCTTGGATACAGGCCCCTGTACTGCAGAAGTTTCAAATTTAGTGTTTGGTCTAGCATTATTTGCCTTGGTTATACAAGTCTTTATTTACTGTTAGTTTTAAAAATATTTTTGAATGGAGTTTTCTCATCATTTGACCCTTGAAAAAGCCTTCAAGTAAAATACGTTGTTTTCATGGCTCTTAAGTGTACACTGAACATCTAATTTTTAAACTTAGAAATATTGTAGCCACAAACAATCCTAATATTCTTGATTTTTAATTTTTGGTAGTTTTTCTTGGGTACTAGGTGCTTCTAAACTACTGTGACACATAGTACAGAAAAACAGTGCTTTTGGTAGCAGAGTTCTCTTTAACTTCATTTACAATTCTGAGAATCCTCAAAAGCCTGTGGTAGAACAGCCAACAAAAACCAAACAAAACCCAGAGAAGTTTTGGTGCTGTGAACAGCTATGAGTGGTGACATCCTAGGCTATGAGAATGCCTAGACAGCATCCCACAGAGGTTCTTTAGATAGAAGTGAATGAGCTAGCTCCAGAACTTAAATGAAAGGTTGCATCAGTTCAGCCTTGCCTTGGAACAAGCTATGCAAGGCTTCCCTGTGCAGCTGCCATGCCCCTCTATTACTGTGATACTGTTTTCAGGACCCAGCACTGCAAAGTGCTGGGTACCAATTTGATTGGCATTGGATCCTAGTTTCTAATTCATTGCATAACACTGACATGAAAATCATGTTCCTCAGTTTCAGCAACAGGATTTTGTGCTGGCTGCAACCACTGAACACATCCCACATGCTTTTTTCACCATGCAACAGAGTTTGGGGGTTTCTAAACCTCATTCCAGAACAAACTCTGATATTGAGATCACATTTCACTATGTATCAGGGGAAAATATCTAGAAAAGTATAATCTAGTTCAGACAGAACTTGAAAATGTGCACAGATTGGTGACTTTCTGTTTTCTCACACAACAATAAAAATTAGAACAAGACTTTTCAGATTTTGTTCCATGCTTAGGATTTGGTCAGAGAAAAAGGACTTTCTCAAGAGGATCTGTGAGTTCTGTTGTCTGAACAGTAGAAGCAGCTGCTCCTTCAAATCAATAAGGAAGGTGGGAAACCTACTACTTCTGGTATTCATTAAGACCACAATGAAAGGATGCTTACTAAGGATGGAGTAAGGCCTCTAAGATTTAAGAAGGCATTAGTTTCAAAGCATATAGAAATTCAAGGAAAAGATAAATGTAAGAGAACACTTGTATTTTCATTGTTCATGTACTTTTATATTCCAGTGATGCAAAAGTCTAACTCCAAAGAGTTGACTAGGCAAAGCAGAGTTGCATGAACTTGGGTATTTTCAGGCCTTTCCATAAAAAATGACATCAGAAGGAACCTTCATAACAGTGGTGTGTAGTGGTACATTTTTTCTCAAAAAATTGTGAGACTTGATACTGGAATTTGTGGAAATCTCAGCACCAATGATGTTCCTTTGAGATTTCCATTATTTAAGCAGAAATGTCAAGTCTGGAGCCAGATTATTGAGATTTGGTTTGTTATCAAAATCATAAATACAATTATATCAGTATTTGAATCTAGTTATCACAGGGTTAGCTCATGTTTGACAAATAGACTACAGTTTCAAATTATTCCTATCTCTTTCATCAAAGAGATCCCTTAGTGCCATATTGTTTTAAGATATAAATGTTGATATGCTTCTCCTAATTCAAGAACAAAGCTCAAAATAAAACAGATATAATCATCTACATCTCACATATGCAGTCTGTACTACTGTACTAAATGCACAGAAAAGCTATGTCTCATTCAAAAAAAGCCACTTGCTTTCCTTCTCGGCCATGCAGGACCTAGTATTGCTCTTAATTGAAGTCCATGGCAAACCTTCCATTAAATCTAATTGCACTGGGCTTTGTTTCTGTCTGTAGGAGTACAGATAGTCTATGTCACTGCAAACAGCAACCACACTAAGCTGTACTTTCCTGGGTAAACGAAGTGCCAAGAAATCAAATATAAACAAAGTAAGCAGCATAAAGCCACCCACCTAAGAGGCCCCTCTTTCCAAGAGCAGCCCAATTCATTAAACAGGCATAGGGACTTAGTCATTCTTTGCCTGATTAAGTACATTTGGTTAAGTTGGTTTTTCTTTTCTGTGGACAACTTCATAGTTTTGTTTTTCAAAGCTGTGCTTTCATGTTCTCCTTGTTCAGCAGCTGGTGTCTTTTTTCCCCTCACATAGGGGAACAGCTCTTTTTTTATATTTTCCCTCAGGCTGAAATGAAAGTAAGTGCATTATGAATGTGTGTCATTCAGCATCTACAATAGCAAGTAATAGTTCTTGGAGTTATCTCTGAAATGGCAATGCATACTCACCTGCAACCTGGAAATAAAAACATCCCAATTTTTTGCCTCATTGTTGGCTGGAACCAGCCTTGCAGGATAGAGATTGCTTGTTCCCACCAGTTGACAATGAAATGAATACTCTGCAGGAGCAGAGATGACAGAAACATTAAATTTAGCAAACTTTTCTCCATCTTGTATGATCTCCACTGAATCTAAAGTGGACCATTGTCTAGCCGAACCTTCATAGAACTTGTTGGTCATTAAAAACCTAGAAAGACAACAGAAAAAAAGTCAAAAGGTTAGAAGGAAAAAGTTAATATCCACTTGATAAAGTACTAGTGGCAGATAAAGGTTCACTATTGCTGGCTGCAAACATCACAGCTGATGATGACATGGTTGATCACATCATTGGAATTGATTCTGTGAATGTATTTACTACATCTTAGAGTTTCATCTCACAAGCACAGCTTTCCATAGGTGTGGCAAGCAAGGAACAAATGCAATTTCATTTTTTAAGGGCCTCTGCTAGTGCTGTATTTCATAAGTTACCAACAGTTTATAATCAGTAGAGGAGAAGCTGAGAGACTGTAAGAAAGCCTGCAGTGGCTCTGAATAAACATTTTATGGGATTTTTTTGAAAATTGCTTTTATGATAGGTACAGGCATGATAGCCATTCTAATTTATCATTGCAATTCTTTCTTGGCTCAAATGGCTAAATGGCATTTTCCTTTGCAAAGGTCTGAGTTTGACATAGAAAACAGTGTTTTCTCTCACTGGAGGGTGGGGAGGGTTTTGTCAGCTCTAGTTTCACAATTTGTAGTAGGTTAGGCACAAATAAATATTCCTCATTTTGAAAACATCTGTGTATGTGTGGTATTGCAGCAGTTTCCAGTAGTTTATAATGATGGAATTTATATGTATGTTATTACCAATACTGTCTGAACACCTCTCAAATGTTCTGAAACAGAAATAATTGAGAACATCCAGAAGTACAAACTGATCCTTTACAGATCAGGACTATGTCCCAGTCTTTACCACTTTTTATCCAGTTCTAGGCATTCAAGTTATCTCATAAGGAAATGATAAACCTTTCTTCTTATTGTATGTTGCTTAATACTTTATCCCTGCTTGGTCTACACATGTGTTCCCCTATACAGTTTGCCAATGATTTGTTTCGACTATTGGTAAGCACAAAGGATTTAGAAAAGGAATCTTTTTAGCAATAAGTGATACCTGTTACTAAATGAAATATTCTAATATGTCTATCCCCCATGGGTAACACTGTATATTGACTTTTAAATTTCAGGTAATACCCTAGATGCAAAAATGATAGGTTTGAAAAAACAAGCATTCATCTATAAAAGGGGCACAATGTAGGCTATTTTATATTGTATAGGGCATCTGCATATATAAGGTATATGTATATATAGAAAGAATATTCTCCATTGTAGAATGTTACTTGTTTGTTCAAATTAGTTACTTTCAGTATCATATCATCCACAAAACACAGAGTCTAAACACAAATCTTGTCAGGTTGGGTTACTACAGTAATTGAACCCTTTCTTTTTTTTTTTTATTTTATTAATAATCTGTGGCTTTTGATTCATGTAACTTCAAAAATCTCAAGAGTTTCAAAATGCTCAGAAGGAATCCTAGAACTCAAAGTGACATTAAACCGAGAAAAAAATGTTTTTTCTTATGGCATTCCTTACTTTTTAAGTCTAAACAGGCCTATCCAGGCAACATTCAGCTGCAAGCATCAGTGAAAAAGAAAAAAAATTCATCTAGCACACATTCACAAATATTTATGGACAAAATTCTATTGTTATAGAGTTACAAAATTAAAATGTGTTAGACTTGATATTAATTGCTAGAAGAAAGGAATCTTTTTCTGATATACAGTACAATCTGAACAGAATTTCCATGGTGTCCCTGTAGCAATGCTACAGGCACTAGTTGAAAGCCAGTTATAAACACAGTTATAACCTTAAATGTTTATGCTAACCACAGATGCTGGATGTGGTCTGTGCTTTTGCTGAGAGGATGAGAAAAGTGGTAAACAAGGCAATTGCTTGTAAACTTACCATATGAACAAACGAGTTTTATAAGGCCATGCATTCTCCAAGAGAACACTGTCTTCACATTGCATCAAAGACTAAGATGTTATGTTAACTTGCAGATTTATGAGAATTAACATTCTATTTCATAAACTAGTCGAACATGGTTGACTTACTAATACAGGCTTTTATCCTCAGCATTTTTCCAAACAACTAGTAGTGAATAGCCTCCAACAAGCATGCACTTAACTGATAACTGATGTAAATATGAGTCATTAAATTAAAAAAAAAAAGACAAGCAACAAAAATCTATAGATTTGCTTCATTTAGTTTAATATTTTCTCAGATGAGCAGATAACAAATAGAAAGAGCACATTACAGCAAATGAAGGACAAGAAAGGGAGAGAGAACAAAGGCTTTATCTTCAGAACTGAAAATACCTTGGCTTTTATAGGATGTTATGTTTGCATTAAACATTAGAGACAATTATGTATATTAGAGACATCATGTACTTTATGTACGGTGGCACAAAATTTCCTGGTCATGGGCCAGGCTCCCTTTGTGCCAGATAACTCTATGAACTCTGCCACCACCTGTTACTGATCACATCTCATATGGCTAATCATTACAAGCAGAGATATTTCTGAAAAGGAAGATAGCTAGAATTACTACTGTTTTAAAGATTCAGAAAGAAACACAACTGTTAGGTAAAAGACTTTAAAATGTGTGGTTTTCACCAATTCTATTCTTTACATGCTATGAACAAAAATAGCAGTCAAGTATGTATCAATGTAAGTGTGGAAAATACTAATGCTCTGCATTTCCATCCACTTCAACACTTTTTTCCCAGAGAAAATGACAGATAAATGATTGAACAGCTGGATATCAGTTTATGAGAGAGCTGAGATGATGCTTCTTCCAGCAAAAAACCTACAGCTCCCACTCCTGCTGCAGCAATAGTTTACTTTTCTAACACTATCATGACACTCTACAACCACTCCCTAACAGCTCACCTCTCAGTGGCAAGTGCAGGAGGATGAGTGGGACTGTAGTTCTTGCTAAAGAGAGGGAGAGGGAGGTGACAACTGTTTGCACAGGATGAAGCAGCTATTGCAGCTGCTAGGAGGAGGTAGGATGTGACCAGCTGCTCAGTACATGGGGGTAGGCTGGTGTTGGTAATGGGGGCAGGTTCTGGATCTGGCTCATGCTGATGAAGTTAGAGCCTCTTTTATTGAAGAATAAATTGAGCTACTTGAACATGATCCTCTCTGGAGTCACTTTCTATCTTCAAGGGATGCTCTCCTACACCTAAAAAAATGGCCTTTATAAGTTGAAAAAATGTAGTTATGGCTCTAAGCTCTGTTCCTTTCCACCTCTTTGCCCTGCTTGTGTCCTGTTTATTAAGGCAGACCATAATCTTACTAAGGTATAATCTTGAACAACAAATGTAATCAAAGTTTACCAGAAGGGGAAAGCAGAGGTTGTACAGTATCTCTGTAGATTTTAGAAGCCCGTGACAAGAGACGTGCTAAACATGATACACAGAGTGAATAAAGTGTTACTGAATCTTGAAAAAAAATCAATGGCTTGCTTTGGTTCTGTTGAGTATATCTTATTATTTGCATTATATAGCATACAATAGCGTATTATGGTAGCCAATAGAGGCCTAAAATGACACCATTGTCTCATAAATCAAGTGAAAATCCATCAGAAAGCAGCACAAATAACCAGGTGAGTCTTTAGTACTATTTTTAATTTATAAAGGCTTCTGAGGTGCTGTGGGTTGAGACCAGCCAGTAGTCAAGCACCCATATAGCTTTTCCCTTACTTCTCATCCTCAACTGGATGGTGAGGGGAGATTAGAAACAGCAAAACTGAGGAAATTTGTGGGTAAAGACAAGGACAGCTCAATAAGTTAAGGAAAGAGGGGGAAAAAAACAATAAAGAAACAATCACATGCAGGTCAATGCACGATGAATGTCCAAGCAATGGCTACTCTGGAAACTACTCCAGGAGCTACCCCCTACATTCTTTCTCTATTCCATTTTTTATTGCTAAACACCTGTGTCACCCATAAAAAATTGTGTCTAAATCCCCTGAGGGCCTATTAAAAACCTGGATCACACATGACTGCATGGAATAAATCAAAATCTTCTGCAAAACACAGCCAGCCTATGCTAATATTACTTGCTGGGCATGACAACACTCAGGACTTTACCTGAGCTCTCTTTTCAAGTCCTCACCTATTGTGGAGCCTGAATTTTTTATTCCAGTTTCAAGGGCTGTTTTTGCATTTCGGTATGTTCAAGTAGAAGCAAAGGTCAAGAGAAACTTTGTGAGTATTTCACCTTTACTAAAACAGGCTCAAAGAATATAAAAAACGTTCCTCAAAAAGAGAGAAAACATGAATCATTCAGCTTTTGTACTGATATTCTCATTTAAATTACAGTACGTCTGTTTGCAGAATTGCTTTAAATTTCTTCTCTTCAGATACACCTCAGATTCATGACCACATTAAAGTTTTTGTCCAATAATTAATTAAAATTATAAGTTTTTATAATGATGACTAAACATAAATCTGAATAATCCTCATTAAGTCCATATATGTGCACTAACATCACATTTGATCTTCTTATGCCTGCTTCAGAAAACAAAGTCTAAGATAAATGTTTTGACTGCCAAAAGATTCTGGTCTGTAGTACTATTGACTACTTTAAAGAAGACAACACCTTTAAGATCTAGCAGTTAACTAGTTTTGAAGCACAGGGTCATGCTCCATAGGATGCTTTATGATTCATATTATTTCTTGGAACTGTAATTTTACTGGAAAGCATGATATTATGCTGAGGATGTCACATTCAGGAGAAATGTAGAAAACAACCACATTCATTCATACAGAAAGAGATTTTAGGAGAGCAGCTAAGACCTGTACTAGGATGAGCAAAGATGCAGAATGAAAATACAGAGCACTGTTTTGGAGGGTCTGGCTATATGAGAGTGGCACAGGAACAGCAACGAATAGACAGAAATGCACCAGGGCAGCATCAGAGAGGGTGATATTTTGAGACTTACAGTAAAAGGAAAAATACAACTTGCACAGAGACTTGGTTTTAGAACAGTATTTTTGGAATGAGACCCAAGGAAAATATTTACTTAATTCCCCGGGGTGTTTATGGAAATACATGTCCCTTTGAAAATCTACAGTATTGAAACCAAGGCATGCTTGACACCATCACCAAGGACAGTTCTCAAGAATCCTATATGCAGCTAACTACAACAGTCAAAAAAGTAAAAAAATACTATACTAACAGCAGTCTTATCTGTACACTATGTTCTTTCACAAGGCTGCAGATGCTTGAAGGAGAGATGTTAAATAACAATGCATGTCTGCCATGGTCTCTGATAATGACTATAAGTGTCTCTATGCACTCCAAATACAACTTGAAAGAAATCACTGACTCTCCTCAACACAAGTTCTGGAGATTCTTTTACCTAAAGATAGAATGTCCTTCTGTCTCAGTGTAAATAATGGTATTTATTCATTCAATCTTATAATTTTAATGTCATGTGCCTCTTTGGCTCTTTTACCAATATGTTGTTCAAGGTTTTGTTATCTCTCTCATTATTACTTTATTTTCCTCTCTTTGGTTTCCTTGGATTTCAATTTCCCCTATTCAAAATGTGAAAAGCGTTTTAGATGGCAAAAGTCATGTGTCTTGCCGCCCAAGCAAACATCCAGTTCATAATCTGATATACAGAAATTTAATTCAGTGCAAGTTCCCTGGCCAAATCCTTCCCAAATAATTTTAAGCAACTAACTGAGGTACCAAAATGAAAAGAGCAGGCCACATTATCTTTGTCAGAGCTTAAGAAAGTATTCCTTTACGGCTGTTCCTGCTGCTGAGAAAAGAATTTCTTTACCAGCAGCGGAATGACAGCATGCAAACACTAGCAGATGCTTTCCTCATCCATAGAATCCACGAGTGAGAACAACATCTGTGAATTCTCAGAGTGGCAGTGAATGAAGTTAAATCCAGCTGGCAGGCAGTCACAGCTAGTGTTCCCCAGGGCTCAGTGTTGGGGCAAGTTCTGCTTAATATCTTTATCAGTTATTTGGACAAGGGGACTGAGGGCACCCTTAGTAAGATTGCAGATGACACTAAGTTGGGTGGGAGTGTTGATCTGCTGGAGGGTAGGAAGGCTCTGCAGAGGGATCTGGACAGGCCGGATCCATTGGATCCACTGGATGAGTGGATCAGTATGAGGTTCAGTGAGGCCAAGTGCCATGTCCAGCACTTGAGTTACAACAACCCCATGCAGAGCTACAGGCTGGGGACAGAGCACCTGGAAAGCTGCCCAGTGGAAAAGGACTTGGGGGTGCTGGTTGACAGTCAGCTGAACATGAGTCAGCAGAATGTCCAGGTGGCCAAGCAGGCCAAAGGCATCCTGGCTTGTATCAGAAATAGTGTGGCCAGCAGGACCAGGGCAGTGATTGTCCTCCTGTACTCGGCACTGATGAGTTCACATCTCAAATCCGCTGTTCAGTTCTGGGTCCCTCACTACAAGAAAGACACTGAGGTGCTGGAGTGAGTCCAGAGAAGGGCAATGAGGCTGGTGAAGGGGCTGGAGAACAAGTCTTTTAAGGAAGGGCTGAGGGAGCCGAGTTGTTTAGCCTGGAGAAAAGGAGGCTGAAGGGAGACATTATCGCTCTCTACAGTTACCTGACAGGAGGTTGTAGTGAGGTGGGAGTCAGTTTATTTTCCCAGGTAAGCCACAGGACAAGAGGAAATGGCCTCAAATTGCACCAGGGAGGTTTAGGTTGGATATTAGGAAAAATTTTTTCAGCGAAAGGGCTGTCAAGCCTTGGAACAGGTTACCCGGGGAAGTGGCTGAGTCAACATGCCGGGAGGTGTTTAAAATCCATGTAGATGTGGCACTTAGGGACATGGTTTAGTCGTGGACTTGGCAGCACTGGGTTAAACATTGGACTCAATGATCCTAAAGGTATTTTTCAACCTAAATGATTCTATGATTCTCCCTTTGATTTTTCTTCACAAGTCTTCCCATTCCCTCGCTTTTCTTCCCTCTTCTCATGGTAGGAGAAACATTGTCTTGTGATCACCCATGGAGCAGAAAAATTAAGATTTTTTGCACCTTCATTAACCACAAACTAGCACTAATAGAGTGCACTGGCAATCCACATTAGGACTAAATACAGCCCTGGACATGCAAGTAGACTTCACTCTCTAGAATATTTTACAAATCACAGTTAGATTTATCTGAGACAGGATCATGGACTGATCCTATTAGTAAAACAGGATGCTGCGTATACCAGTAACATACAGTATGGATTTTTGCCTACAATATTTTTTCAGAACTTTATCTGAGCATATTAATATATTTTCTATATAAAGACTACAATATTGTTCTCCTGCACCCTAACTCCTCAGAAGAGAAAACAATAAATTCAAAACCATTTTTATTTAACTCCTCCTCTTTTTTTGCTCCTAATTTACAAACAGGTGTTGTAAAGATCTATTTAAAAAAAATCATAAGTTACCTTATCTCTAGGCTGCTGATTCCATTCACTGGCTTTGTGTATTTTAATGACAGTCTAAGAAAAAGAAACAGATTTTTAATGTTAGAGTAGTCATCTTTAATTAGATCATTGTGACATTTCAATTGGAGGGAATATTCTAAATCAGTAGGCAATTACAAAAGTCATATAGCAAAGGTTCAGTACACAGAAAAATATGACTAAATATTTCTAGGGTTTCGTTTACCCAAATTTTCAAAGTAAAGGAAAACTGAGATTATGTTTCATTAATGTACTTCCAGCTGAATTACTAACTAGTAACTGGCAATACTCCCCTTCAAGGGAATGAAATTATGATTTCATTAATGCAAGTAGATTTCTGTGATTGTGAGATCAGACACAGGGAAACCTGTTTGGACCAAATATAAACAAGCAAGGAAGTAAGGAGCATAAGAGGGAAAAAATGTGAAAATAATAGGCTGCATCTGAGCAATTTTTGTGGTCTTGATTTATTTCTTTTCTTTTAAGAATATCCACAATTTTTTTTAAATTTTGAATGCTGTAGAAGAAGAAAATTAAACTAGCACTAATTTGACATTGCATTATTTCTGGTTAGTTTTCAGAATCACATGTATTATGAAATTTCTTGTGCTACTCACGTTGTGTTGCTGTCTGAGCACTCAGAGGCAGAAATATCCACATTCTGTGTTACAAATGTTGCATTTGTCAAATCTACAAAAACTGAACTGTTGGCTTTGAGGCTGAAATTACTAGCATAAAAAAGGATGCATGTATAATTTCCAGTGGTCATATTCAGAGGAGGATATGATAAATCATCTTCTTCCTCAGTGGCCATTAATTGACGTCTCAATTCTGCCACCACATTGGTCCTTCTAGAAATCTGGAATAACAGCACATTAACAATTCATCTCCTTTGTAATAGTTAATATCAACTGAACACTGATCTTCACCATTCTGTACCATGAGCACCCATTCTTCTTAAATCCTCAGTCAACCACAGTGTTTGTTATTGTCTGTCTATTTAACTGGTGGTGTGGAGGCTAATGAGGCAGTATTAACCTAGGTTCCCATGGCCAGGTGTCCACATGTGAAAACAATCGCCACTGATACTAGGCAAATGAACGTAAAACCATGCTGGAAGTGTTGTCTTAACATAGTAGTATGCATTAGTGCTAACAGGTAAAAGAATTAATTTTCCCCCAGAAGGATATACTAAAAGAAATGAATGTTTTTTTCTGCACTAAAATCACAAGAAAATTTCAGCTTACCAGTTCAGAGACCATCACCCCTTAACAACAGTAATAGTTTTTGCACTCCTTATTTTAACAGTCATGAAAGCAGACTACTTAACTACAGCATGATTTTTTTTTAGACTCTTCTGATGGTTTCTGGAAAAAGAAGACCTATACCTATTTGGCTGATGTGGTGAACTGCTGCAAGAGACACGTTGGCTTTTAGGAGATTTCCAGGAATTCCTTTTAGTAGGTAATGTTTTAAAAAATGTGCTCAGAGCATCCTTGGTAAAACAGCCCCACCGATATCAACAGTTAAAACTAGCTGACCTTATTAGACAATGACTTTATCCTGTTCATGTCCTACTCCTCACTTTTTACTCTGTTCATATCTGGGATATTCCACATATTTTTAAGTCCCATGTCAGCTTTACAACTTTGTATGCTACAAGTGTTCTCTACCCTTGTATAACTTTGGGGTACAAGAAATGAAAGGCATCACAGGAATTACTAGAACAATAATTACATAGAGCTATTGCCTGGAACTACTTTTAATGGGTTTACAGACAGTCAAGGACCATTTTCCAAGTCTGGAACAGAGGGTATAATATCGCTTTATAACCTGCCTGTGGAGAGGAGCCCCAAAAGATTTTGTCACCTTAACCGCTGCTCTGTAAATGCTCTTGGCCATCTGTTATTTGTAACATGTCTTTGCAGATACCTCATTCTATGAATGAAACAGAATAGGCTACATTAAAACCCTTTGACTAAATGCCCCAGTGAAGACTGCAATCTTCCTCTCCCTTACATGCATACTTTATGAATTTCTTTTTAATTCAGAGTAGTCTCTTTTCAAATACATCAGAACATGCATTATTTTAAATTAATACCATTTTCTTTTAAAAAGAGGGTACAACAAAAGAAAATATTCAAGTTTTGATATAAAACTTTTAATCTTTCCTTAGGCTTTCCTGAAATGTAATCATTTTATTTCAAACTGAGGGGAGAAGCTGAAGTCTAAATTATATCCTGTCTAACTATTGACTTCACTATGTGGGCCCCGTCTATCGCCTAAAGAGGGCTTAAAAAAACACCTACTAGTAGCTGAAAATAATGCTACATTGGATACTGTCATTAGGAGAACTTGGGAGATGAGGTTTAAGTACCTTAAAATAAAAAGAAAACTATTAAAATACAGTCATAAGACTACGGCTTTATTTCTGTTGCTCTCCTGCCAGTACTTTGTCATGAGGTTCTCACATAGAGATTCCCTTCCGGCTCTGAAAAAGCATATGAACCAAAAGAGTGTTTGTCCAGGAAGAAGGCGTTTCAGGGACAAAGAAATCCACTAGCTTTCCATTATTAAATCTGTTTTAACAAATTTGCCCACGCTGAAGAAGGGAGGCAACACAGCTTCCCAAAAACACTCCTAAAAAGGCTTTTGTTTCCTTCATATTTGTGAATGACAGTATAGGCATCCATGGACTGTGCAGCCCAGAGAGTCTTTACTTGCACAGCTATAGGTGGGTAGGATCACTACACTAAACAGGAGCCCGAAATTATCAGCTCTCTGAAGAAATGTCCCCCAAACACTCACTGGCCTGTATATTCACCCCTTTAGCCTGGAGATGCATTTCACTAACATACCTGTGGGTGAGGTAATTCTTACACTGAGTTATTGTACATCAAATTAGATTATTTAGGAACAATCCACAGTGGAAGTGTTGCTGATCATTAAACTATACTTAATTCTGTTGTTTAGTGTGCCCTACACCTTTACCTAATCTGAGCTGTGGGATGTGTGAGTCACCATCTTGTTCTCTGGATTTATCAACAGCATTTTTGATCTCAGATGTGCAGTGAACAACCACAAGAACTGATTAAATAAGATACAGAAAAGAAAGGGTGTCATTTACATTTTCCTAAACCAGAACTGAATGCTGTAATTACTTAGCTGAACCTGCAGTAGAGGTAGCCTGAACAAAATTCTTCCTTTTGACATGTTTTTAAGCCTTCTAATTCAGATTAATCTCTCTAGGAAAGGAGAAAGGAAGCTGATCTGGCAACATCCTGATGCACAAACACACTAATCTTTTTCAAAGCAAACAGACCTTACATCCAAAATTATTCACTTGTTTTGTTGCTGTTGCCACAGTTTTGTTGGCTGTTCCAACATAGAATGGCTAGAGACAAGAAAAAAAGATTTGGGGCCATTTCATGTAATTGAAATTACAATTGAAAACAAATATAAATCCAGTGGTTGTAAACATATAGGAGAAAAATACAAAATGCTGTGAAAATGAAACTTTCATTCACTGAAATCATGAATAGTAACGAACAGCAGAAAAAAGCCACATTTCACATGAATTTTAACATAGGATTTAGTGCAGTATAAGAATGAGATATTGCTTAATAGCATTAATTTTCACAAATGAAGAAAAGAACCTGGAAATATTTCAGGAATGTATGTATAGGCCAAAGCTCAAAATACATCGTGAAAGAGGGGGCCAAAGAATCCTTTTGGGCCACTTGTGATGCTCTGAATCCTGAGGTGAAAGTTCCCGCAGGAGAGGGCAGGCACTGCAACTGCTATCACAGTACCTCAATACCTGTCATCTGAACTGGATTTTGGGTTTAGCAGCTGGAACTGCATCTACGTATCATGTACCAACTGCAATTCTATTGACAGGATACCAAATTGACTGTATGCCTGCATTTGCTGTTAAAGCAATTTTTCATAAATTGCTTTAACAAGGACCACTAAAATCTTTTTTTTGCAAGGTATCCTTTAAAAAATGTCACTAGGAAGCTGCTAAGCGCTCAGTACAGGGGTACTGCAGAATGGTAGATCGTGCTGCTTGCTGGGGTTTGGCTGTGCCACATCAGAAGCCACTCAGCATTCACATCCCAGCCAAGTATCAGCACATTACAAATGCTTTTCCTGAAATTACCATTTCAGATTTGTTCCCACACAAATCGGACAGTTTTCCTCCGTGTTTTCTAACTGGTGTAGCATCATGGCCTCACCATGGGTAGTATCACCATGCCCTCTCCTAATATATCCATTTTTCTGAAGGATAGTGTACCAGAAATCTGTGGTACAGGCAATGGCTGGTTGTATCTCACTGCTAAAGGTCAACAATTTGAAAGTCAAATATTAGAATTTGGTATAACTGTAAAAATGTTCTTTGCAGTGTCAAGTTTATAAAATCATGCACACAGCAAGTAGAAAGAATGTATTTGATTGCACTTATTTCATTCATCTGTCAGTGCAAGACTGTAGCATAACAGTGCTTTAAGCTGTCAAAATCTAGAACATTAAGCAAAGAGTTACCAATTATCTCTATTTTTGAAAGTTTGAACTGTTTACATTTTTATGATTTCTAATCTTTTAGGGGTTTTGGTTTTTAATTCTCCTCTAGGCTGACTTGTGGCTGCTGCATTCTTGGAAGTGTTCAAGCCCAGGTTGGACAGGGTTTAGAGCAACCTGGTCTAGTGGAAAGCGCCCCTGCTCCTGGCATGGGGATTGGAACTGGATGATCTTTAGGGTCCCTTCCAGCCTTATTTCACATATTTGTACAGCAACTGTAAGCCTGACCAAGATATCAGAATAAATGTCAATAGCAGGACATTTTGACCAGAATAATTCTTCATGTCTATTTTCCATCTTTATTAATATTTTGATAAAGCAGGAGAAAGAGAATACACAGAAATGAGGTACATCACATCAATAGCAATCATTTACTAACAATGATTAACATCATTTTAGTGCCTTGTAGGATATATGACCAACCTTACTATCTCACATTATTATCTGATGTCCTGTCAGACATCACATGCCCTGTCCAAGCACACATACTTCTACCAGAAAGCCAAATGGCTTGGGCACTGTGACACTCAGCTTGTACCTGGTGTTCTGCATCTCCCTGGGTTTTTCAGAAAAGCAAGGCTGGGACATGAATGTTAAAGTCAGAATGTATGCTTTACAGTAAGTGATAATGATCTCACTGTAAAATAAAATATTTTCTTATAATTGATAGAACTTTTATGACTTGTGGAGAGTATCCAAGTCATGACCGAATGCTTCAGGAACTTCTTTTAGAAGGGACAATAAAGCTGCAATATTTTTTATGCTGCTCAGTTCAGCCATGGCGTGCATAAACACGATCTAAAGTGTCAGCTCACATGCTTAGGGGCCAGATGGGCTTCTTCACATGCCTGTCCTTTAGCAGCACTGGCCTATACAAAAGATCTCTTGACTGTGATTTACAGAAAATGCGAGTACTCTGTGACACAAACATTTTGCAGAGACAAGTGAGTTAGCAGTGACCATGAAAGCAACAGAATCCACTGCAGAGGAAGGTGGTGTGATGCAGCACTTGTGAAACCAATCTTCTTAAAAGGCCTTAAAATAAGGCAAGGAATTTTTGCATGTATGGCACAAACACGCACATCCATAAATGCCAGAGTAGTCCCAATTTTCTAAAGAAAATTACATTTCCTGTTATTTTCTTGCTACAATTTTTAGTGGATTTTTATATAAAACTTCTTCATCTAACTTCAGAAAGAGCAGGAGTTAGTCTATAAAAATATCCTGAATGTAGAAAGTAAAACAGACTGTGTATAAGTGGAGTAGTACTTAATTCTC